TGTATCGCAGGTGTTGGTTAGCTCTGTATTATGAATGACAGTGTAAATAAAATGCTAATCGTTTTAACATTACCCTGTTTGAAAGCTTACTGTAGGAAAACATACTTGGTCCTGCAACACAGATGTGAGATCTATGCTTTATTATTTATTATATTATTTCCAAACAGAATATTTCACTTTTACAAGAGGAATGGATTTAATGATCAGGACTGAATGATGACATTGGGAATCGTAATGCTATCTCAAGTAATGGGTTCAGCCAAGGTTGCTCGGTAAACATCCGAACACCAAACATCCTTATTGTTACCCATCGCTCCCACGGTGCATGTATAACCCCACAAACTAATGTAATTCACGAAAAAAAAATTTGCAACTTGGCTTTGGAAGTAACATTAGGCTTCTACTGTAAGTAGACATGATATTGACATGACGTATTGCTCTTACTACACATGCACTTGACAGGCCCACAGTGCTGTGATACAGTTGGTCAGCTATGATTGGACAATTACCTTACCCTGTAATTTGCTTGTGATCTCTATTGTAGTTTAAACATGCCATCCCATCAAAATAAAAATAAAAATATATTGTATGTAGTGATTATCACTGTATTCGCAAAGATTATCTAATGAACAAAACCAAAGCAACAACACGTAATACACAATGGTATCCCTTCCATGCATGTAGATAACACAGTCACATCTGAACCCATACTGACCATACATTGGCTACCAATCACACGTTTGCTTTCACACTGACTTTTTTTCTTATCAAATTTGATATTTTACAGAGCCCACTCGTCCACGTTCACAATAGGAAGAGCTGATTCTGCTGAAGGTCACCCCGACATCCGAGCTGAATGAATGACATTTAGAGTACAATTTCCTATTTTTCACCATTTCCTTTGAAAGGCGTTACTCTACATGTACACACCATGCACGCAAGGCACACACATCCACACACGTCCACATTTGTGCACGCGACCATACATCAGGCTTTCAGCAGCCACTAAGCTCTTGTACTTTATTTCAGGGAGTTATACAAACAGTAATGACTCTGCGGGTCCCACAGTCACTCTCCTCTCACTTTGGAACACGTTAGATAAACATTGCAAACTGGACTGACTCCTCAAACATTTATCTATAATTTAAAGATGATTATCCAGCTAATCACACTTAGACCCTAACATAATGAATAGTTTCAGTTGATGTTATTTTAAAAATAATATTGAACAAGTACAAATCATAATTTCTGGTGTAATTATAAATTACAGAAACATTTGTTTTAAGTTGGTTAATGCGTGTGGAATACAGCATCATGATTCTTACATCATTTAGTAATTTTTTTTTTAAGTAATTCAACATTTATAGCTGGCACTTTTGCTCCTGTTATTAGAAGATGGTACTTCTTCTAACCCTGTTGCAAAAGGACATGTCTCTTTGTGCTCCCATCCAGGATAATCAAGTCATCCTTGTCCACATGCCTCCCTGTATCTCTCCTCCAGCGCCCTGACCTTTATCTTCAGCTAAATCTTATTTGCCTTCAGGACTTTATAGGGTTTTCCACTCGTTCATAATCTATTTGCAGTGTCCTACAGACTTTTCATTGCTATGACATTTGACAAAAAACTTAATGGTAAGATATTTCAGTCCCTGTATTCATTTGCGGCCGACTTTGAGTGAATCCTTTTGGAAGCACTGGGTAGACGGATTGTGAGCAGCTTTGCTCCAGGGACGTTTTCCCCATAGTTCAAGGAGATTACCTTTTTGGATCTGTGCTCCATTAAGCAGCTCCTCAAATCATAAAAATACTTCCACGAAAAAAACTTTGTGGAGTTGCTATTGTTTACTGTCCACTTAAAGGGGAAGTCTAATGGAACACACAACAGACGATGAATCACCAGTGTTTCCTTTTTCTCTTCAAATGATATGATGACTTTTTCTTCCTCAGCTGAGAGGCACCAACATAGACACAAACACAAACACAAAGTACAAACAAATGGTTTGAGTTGAACATATACAAAGGGAAACCTGCCATCAGCAGTTCATATGTTATCACACTGGATATGAGGTCCTTGTACGGTACATTATGCGCCCCAGACATTTGTTTTCCAGTTTTGTCTTTTAACTTCCGGTTGCTATCACAGGCTTTAGTAAATGCAAATCAAGTGTGTTGTAGTTTGATGTTTCTATGGTGTCAGTATTAACTTTTAACCAGGTTATTAAGTTATTAGTGTTATATCTAAACTGGTTTATAAACATAACTTTTCAAATTTTGAAAGTGAATCTTTTCTTCAAATATAATTTGCTCTCAATAATGTAGACAGTGCAGCACCGCCTTTTAACAGTGACCTCAGTAATAAGCATATAATTGAATTCACACATTTGTAACAATGTCACCAAAACTGAAAAATATGAAAACGCTAAAAATGTTATGGCAGGGTGCTGTGCTGGTTTACATTAGATTGTACAGGTGTACCTAATAAGTTGGCCACATTAGAAAACCACAAATACCAAAACATTCTGTCCAGCATCATTATTGTACTCAGTAACTGCATTGATTATTGACTCTATGTCTTAAAGTATTACTTACATATTTTTTCTGTTTCATGGCTGAAGTGGTTAATGAATCCTGCAGAGAAACTAAAGATCAAACAAGTGAACACGTAACTCCTGAAAGAATTGTTCTGTTCCAGACATAAAGAAAACCAAAACTATATCTAAAGTGACCAGTCTGCAATAGGGAGAAGATGTCTGTGCACAAATTGCCCTGACATTGAAACACTTTGTCTTCCAGAGAGGTCAAAAAAACAAATTTAAAAGGGGAGTAGTTCAGTGAGAGCGCCGTTGCTATTTGTGTTCAATAAACTGTTTATGAACCAACACTCCAAAAGCCTTAGTGACACTTTTTGTGAATACCTTTTTCTATAAAACCCAAAAATAAAGAAACCCATCATACCACTCTAAACAGTTGCATTGCTGCGCCGCAGTGTGAGGATGGCCTGTAGCCTGCAGTGGGGGTGGGGGGTGGGGGTGGGGGGTGGGGAGGAGGAGGGGTGGTTGGAATCAGTGACATTCTTCAAGGCCAGTGTAAGATTAAAGACCGGGCTGTCGTGCCTCTGATCATATATTCACAAAAGATACCCTGTGAAGAACACATCTTTAAAGAGAGGCTGGCTGAAAATAAGACCACTACTTGTGAATATTTGTGGCAACCCATTATACATATCATATAAATGGTCCATTACTGAATAAGGAGATTACACCCCAGAGAGTTTTTTTTAGTTACCCTTCTCATTTTCTGTTTGCCCTCATATTTTTTTTGGCACAGGCCTGTGAGCAGCTGCCTCCAGTGGCACGAGTTTGTCCTCTATGATGTTTTATGTGTGGAAACGTCCTGGATCCAAGGTTTGGATTTAGCCGGAAGACGTTTTTTTTTTTCTTGATCATACAGAATCACTCCAACATTATAGCATTGTGGCATTGAGCTCAAAGAGCACTGATAAAAAAAAAAACTAACAGCCTTGGGCATAATGTGCAACCAGGAGCATTTATGCAGAAATGAAAAATGTCAATAGTGCTTCCTTCCATAATATTGCCTATTTTACTGGCACATAACACTGGCCTGTGACTCATGAACATAAATTCAGTCCATACAGTACAGTAAACCGAATAATGATTAATATAAATTTCATCTTGGGTTTGCTTCACTTGGTGTGGCCTTGGGTCCTTTAATAGTCGTGGCGCAGTGGAAACATTTAATAGCTTGCTATTCTGCATGTCCTTCAAATAAAATGTTTCCATAATGGATTCTCATTGGTAGATATATGTGTGTATATATAGTTCATCACCACTTTCCAGGGGGCTAGATCACAGGATTACAGACCCTGGAAAGGGACAGCAAACGACTAAGCTACTGAGAAGTATTAATATAATAATCAAGTGTTTCAGGTTGCTCTTAATTCAATTGTCTCTCTTAACATTTCCCAGCTATGTCAATCAATGTGCCTGCCTTGTCTTTAAAGCAACAGAGAGTTATCCATTCTGGCACCATTAAAACATCAATGTCTCATTTCTGCTAAATGGCAGAGGAAAGATAATTGGCATGTGTGCATGCATATTAATTAACTGATAATGAGACGATAAGGTCCCCTCACTATCTGCAGATGTGGAACCACTAATCAATTGGCAGTGAAATGGGGTAAAAATGCGCTTCTTTTATCCCACTACTGAAATTAAAAACCTATTTAGTACCACGTTTTCCAACAAAGTGCTTTTCATTTATCTTCTCCAGCACATTATTCAATCACACTTTCCATTTGTATAATGGTAATATTTTCATGTAATTTCCCACTGCCTCTGAGATGGGTATTTTTGATATGGCTTTGTGAAATGGCTATTCCATTCCAGCTCCATTCACTAGCTGGTAATAAACTTACAACCTATATTTCAGATTAAATGTCTTCAGCAAATGGAGCCAGCCTCAGATGTCTCACAGCAATGTGGAAAGATCACTTGTGCTCCCTGGTGGCGGCAGAGAGAACTACTTCAGTGTTTGTCTATGCCCCCTGGTGGCAAAGACTGGGAACAGCTTGAACATTTTTGTAACCCAACTCCTGGCAACATTTCATTATTGCTGTATAAAGCACTGACTGTCTCTGACTGTTCAGATGAACAGCAGTAACAGTCTTCTGACATGCAGAGCATGCTATCTAGTTGGAAAGCTTAAAGGTATCCACAGCTGAAACATAAGCTGACTGTCTTAAAGGGTTGCTGCTTTAGCCTGCAGCAGAATTGGAAGCGTTTGAAAGAGTCTGTTGTAACTATCAGCCCTGACCAGAGGTGTGTGAGCGCTACAAAGGAGGAGGAGAGGAAAATGAACATATAGGGGCTGTGAAAACAGACAAAGGCGATGTAAAGTACCCCGCAGGGGACTGTACAAAGATCTAAATGAAGGCTGAAAAGGAATATATAAGGGCAACACAGGTACACAACAACACAACGCAGTGTTTGAATCAGTATTTATCACAAAATAGTTTCTGAAATATGAATACACGAGCTGGATTTTTTTTCTGAAGTGTGTGCATTTCTGTGTGTGGCTGGCCCAGAAGACACAGAGGTTGATGGACAGTAGTGCAGCGTCGCCTCCTCCTGCTGACAGGCCCTCCTTCACCCCGGACAGGCCAATCTGTACACACAGCGACACAGACACACAGAGCCCATCTCAGTCACCACACAGCCCATTTGTCATGTCAAATAGCCTCAGAGAGACATGGCGGTCAAGTTATAAAGGTGATTGTATCAAAGTGACCCCAATGTGATGGTCATAAATTGCTTGCTTTATCGCGAGGCACTGTTCCATTGATAGAATTGAAAACAATAAAAAGGACAAATTCAATTGATAAGTAAAAATGGGCAAACATTTTTCATGTAGATTGTGAATATTTGTAATATATATCATATTTCTTACTTTGAGAAGAGTTTAGGACGAGGTGTAAAGATGGCACTCAGCTGGAACTGGAACTAGTTTTTTCTTCCTTGTTTTTCTCTGTTGTTCCATTGCTTTCCTCTGTAGACGCCTCCTTGGTGGAAGTGGCTGTCTTCGGCCTCTCCTCAGGCTTTTCAGAAGGGTCCACCACTGTGGCGCCCCGGCTTGTGTTGCAACCCATGATTTGGCGAGAGTCTATAGTGCACTGTTGAGCTGATGGGAGTCCAGAGGCTTATTGAGTGTTAAAACACCGGTCATAACCTTAAAACCTGTATAAGTGTTGTGGGCTCAGGTGCCTTTGTTCTCTATGGCAACCTTGAGACTTCCTGTTGAGTTTGGGCACCTGACTGTGTGTTGGTTTCTTTTTATGAGCCTTTGTCTGCTGGCCGTGCTGCCTTTTGGTAATTACCTCCTAAGCAACATTGGTTGAGAATTAACTCGGTCGCGTGCCAAAACATGGTAACTAATAAACACTGAGGGGGATTGTGTGTCAATCACAGGGCAGCCATGGTTACCAACTGGATGGGAGTGTCTGCTTTCGTTTAGTCAGAGGAATGTATAAATTGTATATATCACCATTCAGCTAATGTCAGAGCACATTCTTATTTATAGGCCCACTGACTCTTATGGTACAGTAAAAGGGGAACAAAACTGTTGATGATTAGTTTGGTAGGTACATAGTTTTATATGAAGGTGGAGAGTGAAACTGAAAAATGAAAAGAACAGTATATACCATAGATGATGTCAGTGAGTCCCTTGCTGCTTGGTCACTTGGTACAATAGTGCTGCTCTGCCAAGTAAAAACAGGTTTCCTTGTTGCTTCTCATTAGCTTTCTATAAAAGGGAGCAAATTAGAGTGAGGCCAGAATGCTGAGTGTAAACCAGCTCCCTTTGAACAGAGAACTACAAACAGTATAAAGTGGAAATTCAGTCCAGAGTCCAAACTGTCTTTGGGGGTAAAGTCTGTGATAATTTCACCACAGAACAAAGAGAATGATTTAATCAGAATGTTTTTAGGACACCAATACGAGATCATTGTTATATACAGTATGCTTGTATGTATCAGAGTTTATTGTTTACTTGAACAAATACATGATTTTGATTTAACAACATTTTTGTTTTTAATTAAAGATTATCCATACATGTTTTAAGATTTTTTTAAAATTCTTTAATTTTTTTTTTACAAAAATGTAAAATTATCTATTTAGGAAGTGAGTTGGGAAAACCCCGGAATCAGTCAATAAAACTATGCAGCCCCCCATGTGAAACTATTATTATTCAGACAGCTTAGTTTCTACATACTTCAAGTACCATTGAATAAACTTTAATAATGCTATGGTAACTTCTTCACTTTCCCTTCATTCCTGCGAAGAAGTAAAGAATCAAGTTTCACTGTTTTCAACTGTTTCAACTTGAATATTGGAACATTTTAAAAGATAGGAAAGCATCATTAGAGGATAAAAACAGGAAAACACATTAAAAATTGCTTTAGAGTGGCTTGCAATGAACACTTAGTATCACCCCTCACTTAATCAGAATCTAGTCAATTACAATCAAGTATTCATGAAGGCCATAGACATGGTGAAGCTCGTCCCCATGAACCCTGTGAGGGGCAGACAAGCTTGTCCCTCTGTTTTAACTGCAGTTCAGCTGGTACTGTATTATCCTCTCTCAGTCTATCCTTTATTTATCCAAGGAAAGTCAACTGAGCACTTTCCAGCTATGCCCTACATCAAATTCATACATTTCCACCAGAAAGCTGCCCAGGACAATGACAATCTCCTACCACTGGCCACTGAGCTTAGGGCTAAGTGCCTTATTCAAGGACAGTAAGTGTCAGACATAATGCAGAACAAAAAAGGAATAATTTTAGCTTAGACTGGAAGGCAAAGACAATACTGCTCTGTGCTGCTCTTTTAACACTGTTGTTACAGTCTCAGAAACAGGAGCAGAGTGAGACTCCTCTCTGCTCTAGTGCAGGTTCGGCTTTGTAACTGGAGAGGGTTATTCCTGGTCCCTTCTTGCCCCTCGATCATTCACCACATTCCTTAGTCGCCTCTGCCAGGCTGACTCATCCAAACGAAGCCTCTTTACTGAAGGACCACCTTCTTCCTCCATCCCTACTTCTTCCTCCTCCTCTTCTCTATCCAAAGATACCCCATAGCTTCGCCTGTTGGGTGACCTGCCCGTCCTGACCATGTTATTGATCTCACGCAGACGCTGTTGGAAACAGAAGGGATATTTGTAGCAAAACTAACTGTGACTTAATCACCTAAAAATAATGAAATCAATAATTCAGCTCTACTAAAAGTGTACATACTAAACATGCATATCCAGTATCTTCAAGCTACACAAATTAAATAATATAATTTCAAGATGACAGTTTGATCACTAAGAAGGTTTTCAATGTTCTGTCCACAGACCTCTGGGGGGCTTGAGTTGAAGTAGTAACAGAGTCCGGATGTACGGGGTAAAGTGGTTTCTGGGTTGTATGGTGAAATGAAGATGGGGTAGCTGGGGGACAGCCTGCGCCTGCGAGGAGATACTTTCCACTGTCTGGGGTATGGAGACAAAGGAGGGGTGTCTCCCTACACAAGAGTGACACAGGATATGTTAGAAAACCCCATTCTGAAGTTATGAAGATTTTACACATCCTTGAATTTGTGTTTTGTGTTGTGTGTCCGAGATTTGTGTGATCTCGGTTTGTTACTGTCTCCTATTGTTCATACAGCAAAATTTGAGACGTGAAAGGGTTCACTTACTCCAGGGGTCGGGGCAAACTGCTTGGCAAAGTGCTCCATGTTTGTTGTGTAGACCTGGTTGTAAAAGTAAATAAGGTTGCCCCTCTCCTCCTGACAAAGTCCCGGATAATGTGTTGATGGTGTGTTGGGGGTCAGGATACCGTCGCTTTGGTCACCATTATCTGTAATCAAAAGTGTAATAAATGGCCACTTCTCATGGTGGAAGTACAGTAAATTGTCTCCACTTACATTACTGATATAATGCAGGTAATAGATTGTGAGTTATTGTGGTACCTTGATATAGGTTTCTATAATGCCTCTTTCCAGCTACACAGAGTGATACTTGACTTATGGCTGACCCTAGATATGCTGCCTGAAGGGCTTCAGTTAAATTGGTGCTGGAGCCAGATGGTAACTAAAGAAAAAAAATCTGGCCTGCATGCCAAGAAATTTTCTAACATGCTGGTGATACTCTCATGTTGGTGAGTCCAGCTGGAGATGTATAGAATTTGTGCTTTAAAAATTTTGTTTATTTAATCACCTAATTTTCCTGTGAATGAGTTTTATTTGAGCTAACAGGATGTATCTATGTCACTGCAACAGCAAAGCCAAAGGCAGTTTATATTCTGTATATAAAATATGTTCAGATGTATCTTTGTAAATCAGCTATTATTAGACCATACTGTGTCATAATGTCCCATATCAACTGTACACACTGATTCATGTCTGGGTAATCAGAGGATGTGCATGCTCTTACTGTTGTTTCCAGTGAGATCATTTTCTGTGTCTCTTCCGGAAATCAGCACATTTTTGCAGACCTGAGAACAGAAAATGTCCGTGTTTGTAACTTTTTAACTAATATAGCCACAACACACACACAGACAAACCTATGTATCAATATCAATATGTGAATCACACTTCATCTGTCAATTAAATGGCACAGTGTTAATGTTCAGTCATCTTAAATCACATCTTCTATTTGATTTATCCAAAATTGGAAGCAAATCAGCTCAAATGATGGCCGGAATAATCTTTGAAAAAACAAACTTACACTTTTGTTGGCAAGTGGCTTAGACTTGTAGCACTTCATTATGTGTTTGAAGGGTATCTCCACCTTGGTAATCTGTAAAAGCAATGCAAGTTCCATAAGCGATGATTTCCAAGCAAAAGTCATATTTGGATCATTTATTTTTTTAGCAGGGCTCCTGTCAGTGAGTGCTGAGAGTCTCTAAGATGCTTTTGCTGTTTAATACTTACTAATATAAATCTAAAGTTGGCTGTCCCCTTTGTAAGGGGTAATAGTGTAATAGTAGAATGAATAAAAATGAATGTATTGCATCATCAATTAAAAACATATGCAGTGGGTATGTGAGAGTGTTAATTTACTGAATTACAAAAGAAGTGTGTTTTAGTGACATGCTTCAAACTAATTAAAGCCCTTAGTAATCACACACAGACAAAGGACATCCTTGCAAACATGCAGCATGTCTACCAAATAAACCAATGACCATTAAAAGTGCTGAGACTCTCGAAGATATATCAAAAGCACACCTTTGCAATGATGTAGATGGCACACATGAGCAGTTGGTCCAGGTGACGATCTACCATGAGGTCAGTGCAGTAGACCAAAGAGTACTCAAAACAGGTCCAGATCTTCAACCGCAGATCATCAGAAATGTCCAGTGTGGAACACAGCTCCCTGAGACGCCGGCCCATCAGGCTGTAAACCTGAGACAAAGAGAAAACATGACCACACTAAACATCTCCAAATATTCCCAAATAATTTCCGTAAGAAATGGTTACATTCCCAGACTTGTGCCAATAAATACCTAACAATACCATGAATTACTTGACCAAGGGGGGAAGTGAGACAAAATCCAATTCAATACATGTTCAAGACACAACAACAGAGCTATAATACAGACAGTACATTTGTATTTATCATTTGAGCCAGGATCACTTCATGTCAACAACATAAACACACAATACAACAGTGTTTGGTGACTTGACTGTTTTGGAGTCTCCGTCTAAGTAAAATGGTGATTGCGATGATAACTGTTATTTGGAGCCACAGAATAGAATATCATTCCACACACACTAGGTAAATGTTATGGTGCGGAAAATTGACTAACCTTACGAGCAAACATGTGGAGAGAGTTGCATCTCCGAGGCCTGTTCACAGCTGACGGGGAATGCTGTTGGTCGGTGCCGGCAGACAGGTCAGCTCCCGAACCGAGACCGGCTGACAACAAGATAACTGACCAGTCAGTCCATGGTAAGAATACTGTAGTCAGTTTGTAATTGAGGAGTATATGAAGTGCAACAGAATTAAATCAAAAAGGAGTTTTAATACACTGCATTTATACCTGCTGGCAGGTTTTCGTCAGGTTGCAAGTCTGTAGTTTTTGGATCTTCAACCTGTGTAGGAGGCATCACCTGTATATGACACAAAGCCCTCGTTAAAGCCCCATATGTGTGAAGAAACGCTGAAGTGATGTTTTGATAAAGATCCATCATTCAGTCAGTGGAAGAAATGTTTTAATCACATTTCTAATTTCCTCTTACTCAGACATTGTCGCCAGCATTAACCTTGGAAGAAACTGAATATTAACTCTTAGATAACTCCTGGCGCTAGATGAAGTGTTTTTGTGTGTGTTATTGCCAACCTGTTGGCAGGTCGGCAGATGGCCCTCGTTGGGTCTGATTTCTTCCCACAGCGGTGAGTCGCAGGTCCAGGCCAAGCTTTCAAGCACTTTCTCTTCCACTTGGGCGAGGTGTGTGAACACAGCACGAGGCAGGCCCACTTCAGCCCGCAACACCAGCTCAATCACCTGCCAGACCACAGGAAAACAAAACAGAGGGGTGAGAAATGTTGCCCCTCTCCACTCTCTCAGGAACCACTGTTAGGGTTCCCTTAAGGAAGGAATGTAAACATACTTTCTGCTCTGGAGCTCGTCCCATATAATTGTTCTTACAAGTGTCTGTTCTACCCTTCTCTGTCCTGTGTACTCTCCATAAAGACAATAAAAACTGACTGCCCCAGGGGACTTCAGAGTGTTGAAACATGATGTATTTTTGTGGCAATTATTATTTGGAGTTGAGAACTGTTGATTGACTTCTAAAAACTTCTAAAAGGTTGACACCAATTTTATTGCTAACACACTTGGGAACACACCTTCCAGAGGTGGTATGGAGCCAGTTTCAGGATCTGAAGAAGCAGAGGGAAGTCACAAGGCAGACGGTTTGAGGATATGGTCATCTCCAGACAACAGGCCACCAGACAGCAGTGGAAAAGATCATTCTCCAAGATGGCCTGCGACAGACACATCAAAAGCACAAGTGCTTTATTTTGAAAGACAAATTTAGAAAAAATGAAAAGAGATCAAAGCTTTAATTTTTAAAAAGGCTCAGGATGAACATAAACATGTAGTGTAGCAAATTCATACAGTGCCCCTAGTGTGTGGAAAAGGTGTTAGGGGTTAGTCAGACAGTAGTTCCAGTTGTGGCCACAGGAGGGCAGTGCACTCACTGAGATGTCACTGATGCCCAGTCTTTTCCTCTCTTGGCTGGCGTGGTTCTCCAGGATCCTGTAATACCAGATCCCCGCTTCCCAGCAGCACTTTGCTGCCAACTCTGTGAACAGTATCACATGAATAAAGTGAAATGTATCAATAACAAGGGATTTGATACCTGTCATTAAAAACCAGCCAGCTCTCTAATAGTGTTGGGATTTAAAACACTGTAGGTGAGCAGACAGGGGTTCCCTGCTGTGCTCAAACAGGCATTGTTACTTCTGATAGAACCAGTTAGTATTAAAAATGGTGTGTCTCTAAAGACTGATAAAATTCTGGGCTATTAAAAGTAACACGGTGAAGGCCATAATCATCCTCAAGAAATATTGAACATAAGGTAACAGTGTTTAAATTCAGCTTTGGCCATGCATCCATCCCCAACATTTAAGTAACTGTTAGACACCTCGTCCCATTGTCTGATGATCATTGACTGAGTTAGCATACCGTTGGTCGTCTCATTTCCTGCATTGTCCCGGTGGTGTTGCAGAAATGTGTGCAGCATACGTCTCAGTCTGGCTTTAATGGCCTCGGTTGGATCTCTGGAGCAGGCCCTGAATCAGAGGAATCATAGTAAAGCAGTTAAATGAGCGGGAAAACCTTCAAGAAATAAATAAAAGGCCACACAAGGTTTTTAAAAGCCCTCACTGCAGCTGTAAAAGCTCTCTTAAAAAATTTAAAGAGTATACAGAAACCTCCCCAGCTGCACATAATGTTTACTCATAGTGAAACAGTATTTTGTCTCAATGCTAACCTTTTTCCGTTTGCCTTTTACCACTACATCCGACGTTAACTGTCAAAAACACGCATGTCAGACTGTGTAGTGATATTGCAGTAACACTGTGGCTTATTGCAACTATCAGTGTCAGTAGCTTTGTTAAAACTACCTGCTGTACACTAAAATAACCTACACAGATAATGTTGTAATTCTTCGATCTCATACAACAACATGGCTACCGCATGAGTAACACTGCAAGACTGTAGCACCGACCTGAACATAGCGATCAGGCTGTCACTGGGGCCAAACCTCAGCTTTCCCAGGTTACCCTGAGGCTCGGTGGTTGCCATGGTGACCACCACACTCCCACCGGATGAGAGCCTCAGAATGGGCACCTAAACAAGGGAAAGAACATTAGAAACACAGAGAGACAACTGAGACACAATACAACCTTGCAGTGCAGTACAATCAGTGACCAGTCATATTTTCATAGTTTGATATCAGTAAAGAGACACGTTCACTCTACAAACTGTTTCTTGCACCACAACAACAGACATGGATGTGATGTCTGTGATGTCACCCATTACGTTTCTAAAGGGATTTACAGGAAGAGTTTGACATTAACAGAAAATACACTCATTTTTCTTTCTTTCTGAGAATTTTATGAGAACATTGATATCAGTCTTGTGACAGACCTTCCTAGAAAGTGAATGGATGGCAGTTTGGCTTTCAATTATACAGGAAGCCTAAAATGTAACTGATGGTGTTAGCTGTGTTGGTAGCCTGTCATCCACAACTCCTTAGTGTCTCTATGCTGCTCATTTAGTTTACATTATTTAGTCTCTATTTCCTGGTCTAAGCAGGAGTCACATGTGTTACTGTACATCTCAGATAAGTCAGCTTTGCAAATATTGGCAACACCCTGGCAGGATGGTGACTGCTGACTGTCATGTTGAGTTTAACAAGAGTTTAGACACCTTAGATGCCCAGAAGACTTGTGTCTGTCAGTAGAAACTGTAATAATTAAACCTTAATCAAAGCACACCATGACAGTGCAATTTTCAATAATAAGAGGGCTTCACAAACAAGATAATACTAGGCGTAACAGACAGTATCTTCTTTGTCAGCTTCTATTTCAGGAGTTTTAGTCCCAGCCTGTACAATGTGAAAATATTATTTCAGCTGATCTGGCCATGGAGGCCATGCATCATCTCCAACAGTACCTATTGGTACTTTTACATTGAATACCCTTCCTCCATTCTACCTCACTCAAACATTTCAATTGGGCCATTCTGCCAAATCAGGGCCTTTTCTGTAACTTGGACATTATATGCATACATTTGCATAAAAAGGTATTGGTATAATACATTATATCCACGATCAGCCATGACCTCACAACATACAGGATTTAAAGGATCTGCTGCTAACGTGTTGGTGCCAGATACCACAGCACACCTTCAGAGGTCTAGTGGAGTCCATGCCTCGACGGGTCAGGGCTGTTTTGGCGGCAAAAGGGGGACCTACACAATATTTAAGTTTCCTGCTCTCTGTTTTCTGTATTTTTGATCATATTCTTAGTATGACCAAGAATCTCAATCTCAACGTACAGTTTTTTTTAAAGATAGTTTTGGCAAACCACTTGAAGGTAAGTGTTCTTATGCTACTCATATTGTTCCCATGTGGCTACATTTCATGCATTTGCTTAAAACTGAGAAAATGCTAGTTTTCCAATTAGAAACTTGTAAAAAAAATTGACACCTACACATGTTAAATAGTGAAGCATGAGTTGAATCAGTTACAGTGCTTATAAAAGATAAAGAATTAAGTTTCTTTTTAAAAAGTTACAACATGCAGATGGCACCGATTTGGTAGAATGCCCGTTTATCTGTGAATGTTAGTTCCCTTCCTCTGAATGAAGGCTCTGTTTCTCTAATCATTCCCACATATGCTGTTTATCTGGGTTACTGTCCTCAGTGAGTCAGGCAGACCTCAGTCTATAGTGATACGTGTGTGTGTGTGTGGGAGAGAGAGCGAGTGAGATACACAGAAGAACCACAAGCTGACTGTAAGGAAGCTGAGAGAGGTTGCACGATACAGAATGCGAATAAGGACTGAACTGTGATTTTGTTCCTTCATCAGCTGAGTAAGTCTCGTATAGTAAGTCTATACGGACTGAGCACCATTATGTGAAAAAAATCTAATATAGCTTCAACAACTTTTAATGGGGCCATTTCCCTCCTATGTCCTCTTCATGTAGCCATTTTGAGCACCACATGACCACATTTTGTTCAAAAAGATGTTTCCAAATGTAATCATCTGCCTGCCAGTTATTTTCTGTCAGTCTAGCTTTCTTTTGCTCCCTAAACAACAACACACTTTCTGAATTATCCCGTTTTGTCTGTTCCACTGTTGACACACAGCTACGCTCCTTTGCATTCAAAGCTCTCTGTAGCATAAATTCAGGGATCGATACTATTCGACTCTGACCTTTGTTAAGATAAACAAACGAGGCTTGAGTGAACAGCTGTCTTGAACATTAATACACCTTTCCAAGATAAGGCTCCTTTTATCTAGTGATGATCTAAATGAAGTTGTTAATGGCAGTAGTTCTTGATCATTATTGCAGCTCATTTATCTGCCTCGGGCAGAGTTCAAGTTTGCGCAGAATGAATTATAAGAGTGGCGTAAGATCCACACATGCAGTCTTATTTGTTGTGTAGATGTCTTTCTATTACATTTTATTTTAGCATTTGAATCATTTGAGGTCAAATAAGGTGAATGTTTTTTTGCTGTTGGTCCAATGCCAGGTGCCAACTGAGACACTACAGTAAGAATCAGTACAGGGCACAGAGAGAAGAAACACTGGCACATCTACACCGAGCAGCCATAACATTATGAGCACTGACTGGTCAAGTGAATAACAATGGTTATCTGGTTATCATGGCACCTGTCAGTGGGTGGGATTTATTAGGCAGCAAGTGAACATTTTGTCCTCAAAGTTGATGTGTCAGAAGCATGGAAAATGGGCAGCGTGAGGATGTGACCGACTTTGATAAGAGCCACATTGTGATGACTAGACGACTGGGTCAAAGCATCTCCAGAACTGCTGCTCTTCTGGAGTGTTCCCTGTCTGCAGTGGTCAGTACCCATCAAAAGTGCTCCAAGGAGAGCAGCGAACTGATGCAAGATGGGAGCGAAGGCTGGCCCGTGTGGTCCAATCCAACAGACGAGCTCCTGTAGCCCAAATTGCTAAAAAAGGTCATGCTGGTTCTGATAGAAAGGTGTAAGAACACACAGTGCATCATAGTCTGTGCATATGGGGCTGCGTAGCCGCAGACCAATCAAAAGCGCCTATGATGGGCACGTGAGCATCAGAAATGGACCATGGAGCAATAGAAGAAGGTGGCCTGGCCGGATTAATCACGTTTTCTTTAACATCATGTGGATGGCCGGATGTGTGTGCATTGCCTACCTGGAAAACACATGGCACCAGCATGCACTATGGGAAGAAGGCAAGCCAGAGGAGGCAGTGTGATGCTTTGAATAATGTTCTACTGGGAAACCCTGGGTCTTGCCATTCATGCGGATGCTACTTTGACATGTACCACCTACCTAAGCATTGTTACAGACCATCTACACTCATTCATGGATACGGTATTCCCTGATGGCAGTGGCCTCTTTTAGCAGGATAATGCGCCGTGCCACAAAGCAAGAATGGTTTGAGGAACACAACAACGAGTTTTAGGTGTTTACTTGGCCTCCATATTCCCTAGATCTCAATCTAATCAAGCATCTGTGGGATGAGCTGGACAAACAAGTCCAACCCATGGAGGCCCCATCTCACAACATACAGGACTTAAAAGATCTGCTGCTAACGTGTTGGTGCCAGATACCACAGCACACCTTTAGAGGTCTAGTGGAGTCCATGCCTCGACGGGTCAGGGCCAAGTTATCGCTTTTCTGACTCACTTCCACAGCTGCAGTAGTTACATTTCACTGCAAAACATCACCTATGACTAATACAGATCAACTTGGAAGCAACAGCATGCATATAGCTCAGACAATTCATACAATCCCAGCCTGGGCCAAAAATGCCCTGATTTGTCACACAAACTTTAACCCATCTCCCAAGGAAGATAATGTGTCATTTTACTGCCATGAGCGCCAGAAAAAACAAAAGAAGGTCAGTCCACAGCATTCTGCTGAAAGAAAAGTGATAAACTAGATTGAAACAAACACAAAAATAACTTAAGGTTACGTCATTAACCCAGATGGGAGTCAAAGCTGTTGTCATGCTTCATTATCTCCCACTTCTGTCTTTTGTCTTTAACATAATACGTAAAACCACACGTCTATGAATTACACTGGAAGAAACCACTTCCCATTTAATGTCATCCAACACTACATGTTTGTTTGGTGTCAGTAATACTCAGTAATAAACCGAAAAACAATTTACATTCTGAGTATTGCATAATCTGGTACCAATTCATATGGGTTACACCCATTTCCTGTTTCTTCCACACTGACCTTCACTGACAGAAGCTGCTTGAAAGCTTACTTTCAATTTGAGACACGTGCTTAACATTTAAATGGCACTTCAGTTAACTATGGATTCAAGTTTTTGACCATTAATCAAATATAATAATAGAGCTATGTAAAATAACAGCATGTACTAATGCAGATGTGGATGATGGCAGTGGTACATTTAGTTCAAACTGTCAGCTTTTTGTGCAATTTGTTAGTCATGTCATCTAAGTTGAGCCTTGGACTTGTCACGAGAAAACTGAAGCAATAAACAGTTTCAAAGCCACTTACCAGTCACTCTTGTGAGTGGTTTCGTTGAGCTCAAGAGCCAGATGCAGGCTCTTCTGATCTAAGATTCCTCCTGAGTGTCTCTTATGTCGGCTGGTAGCAGTGGAGAGTTGCAGCATGGGTTCAGAGCAGCCAACCTGCTGCTCTGCAGACTGAGGAAGTTTAGATCATTGGCCTCTCTCAGCTGTAGACAAGCCCCAACTTGTCATCTGTGTGGTTGCTATGATAAGCACTGAGCAGAACTGTACAAGTGACTACACAGGCCCCTGAGCGCCGCCAAGAGGAGGAATGAAGGACTTAGAGTAGAGAGGAAAACTTTTTTAACCCTTCGCTTTGACAAAATGTTCAACAATGGGACTGTTTATTTCTACTGATGTCTGGCTGGAAAACTTTAAAGGGCCTTTCTTCAAACAGCGGTATATTATGAATTATATTTCCACATAAATTACATTTAGTGGATCACCAACACATGGTTTACTAAACTATTATACAGTACTTATCTTCTGAGTGTTGCATAATGATAGCTATAATTAGACAGAGTAGCACATAGAGCTCATTTTTGCTACCTGTACTCTGAATACTGATGTTGATAACCACTGTTTGATATTTATTATTTATAACTCTAGCACTTGGATAAGAAAATGAACTATTTCAACTTTAAAAAGTAGGGAGGAAGGGACAAAAATGCTACAATTTAAGGAGCAGTTACCAATGTTTAAGCAAATACAGTATATTTTCTGCCACTGTTGAGTTTTAAGCTAAGAGAAGCTTAAGAAATGCTTTCATCCAAGCTCACAAGAAAAGACTTTTTCCACTGTATCTGCTTTCTAGAGTGTCAGTTCCTGAAAGGAACTGTGGTGGAGCAGTAAGAAAGTGCATACATGTGAGGAAGTTGATGAATTCTTGAATAAGGCCTCCAGACAAAGCAACAGGCAAAGGCACACTTAATTGATAGTCAGAAGAATATGTTTAATAAAAATAATTAAACCTCAATTTCCTCTATAGAACTTCATAGAAAGTAATCCAATAAATTACAAATGACTTTTAAGACGCATTTTCCTGCACTACATAAAGAATTATTTTGATTACACAGACCACAACTTGCAAATATTACAACTGTCCAAAAAAAAAAGACAAAAACTGACCAGGGTGACATTTAGGATATTATCAAGCTTGAAATAAAAATACAAAACCAGTGATGCTAGTTTTGCTATCTCAGTGATAACATGTATGAAAACTGAAAGAAAACCTCCCTGTACAGCAGTAGTGTGTTTTGTCATTCCTCTTGCATATTGGTCATGGTTTACTTGTGTCTGTGTTAAATGCAGATTCAACACTGCTTCCCTAACACTAGCAGTGCTTTGGGAGTCCTTGTACAGTACAACCTAGAGAACAAAAAAATACATTTGAAAGAAAAGCAAAATGAAAGCAGAAAGGTCAATCTTATGTCTACCATTTTTTTTCCCATTTGTGTCCTAAAGAGGCTCAGCACAGTCATCAATCCATCAACCCATCGCTGTGGGGCAACAAAACGTAGCAAAAAGTCATTAGATCAATCACCTACAGCAGAAGTAGCAATGGCTGGGTGTTTGCATAAGGGCACTACAAGTTTAAAGAAAGCAGAGGTGCAGATATACAAAATGACAGTGGCATGTTTAAGTTCATTGCTCAGACATAGAAAAATACTGTACTGTTAGTAATAATATAAAAAAAAATGCAATTGCATTGCAAGCAAAACCCATGACAAGGTCTATATATGTATATGTATATATATATATATATATATATATATATATATATATGTATATGTATATGTATATATACATATATATATAAAAACAGGCATACAAGAAAACCACTTTAAAGCAATATTAGAAATCAGACATGTCTTCAGCCGCTGGGGCTGTTCATGGTTTCACCCACGAGAGAACGATGCTACAGCAATACTTAAGAACTAAACAGACTGAGTTAATTCAGTGGGTTTTTCCAACACAGGAGGGGGCGCTCTGTCATCCCCGGTCCAAACAGAAACCTCACCTTGGAAATTGTTTTTGAAACATGTATCTAACAGTCCACTGTGTAACAGCAGTCCTAGAGCGAGCACTGTTGTGCCAAGAGAAAATTACTAAAGGTACTTCGGCTTGAATGAATCCAGTGTTTATGTGTATCCTGGTTACAGCTGAACATGGTGCAGAGACGATGAACAGAAATGCACAAGCATGGACACTGAGCACGGGTCTGAGAAGTCAGTTTGTCGGACAGAGGTTGAACGAGAAAGTGAGGTACAGGATAAGGGCACTTCTACATCTAGCTGAAGCTCCATTTGTCAACAAAACAGACTTGAGGACACACAACCAAGCTGCAAACTCCCAGCAACGCAAGCTGCTATTATTTAGCCTTTCCTGAAGCTAGCCCGACTGGCACTGTGTCAAATTTAATACTCAAAGACAATGACGATTACTACAATCTTATCCAGGATTTGAACTATATTGTGCTTGTGCCAAGTGTGTTCTCTAAGACTTTGGTAGACAGGTGTTCATGCAACACATAATGCAAGAGGACTGTCATTTCTAATGAGATGTGATTGAAGGTCAAAAGTCGTAGCTTTGCAAGGCGCCCTGCTCCTTAAGACACAACATTCAGACTGAAAAGATATGGAAGCAGTAGGTACACCAGGTGAGAGGAGCAGTCCAGCCAAACAAGACAACACAGTGGAAGCTCTCAGTTACAAAAAACACAGCCTCTGACACACATTCCAGCAGAGACAAGGACATGAATTACATGGACAGCAAGAAAACACACCCATGCACATCTACATCTGCACAGTGAAGCCAATCCATTTAGCACAGTTGAGGTAAGATGCAATCAAATATGCCGGGGTTGTAATAATATCCATGTCATTAGGAATCCTGAATTCTTCCTTTACACAGAGACCACAAAACTCTGTCAGGACCTCCGTGGGTCAAAGGGCAGTTTTTTGGCACACAGTAAAAGGTTGTTTTCTGTCCCCACAGGAGGAGTTTATCTGACTCCTGACACTGCAGTCAAAATCAACAGATGTGCAAGTGAACATGTATGCCTACTGTGAGTAGCTAAAGTGCGCCTTGGACATGTTGTGACATGTTTGTAAGGTGACATGAAAAGGAGGAGTTTCTAAAATTAGATAACCATGTGAAAAAATAAAACCTCCCCCATACCAAAACAAAAAAAAAAGTAATCACAGCAGACAAATTCAATTATGATCCATTTTGAAGAATTGAATCGCATTTGTAATATAAATACATCTACAGATTTCTCCCCAAATTGAAGCCATGTTAAAGAGGGAGCTCCAGGTAATTCTGATTCCATATGGGATGTGAATGAATGCAGAAATTAACTCTTCAACGAGATATGAAGGTGAATGACAGGTTTAAGTGAGGCTGCGTGAGTTGTGCACTGGGGTGGAACATGGCAGACAGAGAATCTACAGCTTCAGTGACATTCATTAGCTGCCCAAGTTATTGCTGACATATCCAACGTATGATCTGCAAAGCATAAGTGTCAACGAACCTGTAAAAGTACTGACTATTTACAAGAGAAACCAAAGTGTTTGTCAAGTGTCATTCTCCCAACCCCCAACAATCAAAATATATTAATAGTACAGCTCAACGAGCATGTTGATGTAGTTTCACTTTTTTAATAAAATTAAATCCTGACATAATTACAATAATGCCTTTTTTGTTGCAATTGTACATAATTGTGTGGTACAAGTTCACAGAGTTCAGAAATCTACTAAAGTCTGACATGCAAAATGTCTCAAAACAAGACTGTACCTTGTGAACAAAAACTGAATTTTTATTTCAGTTCCTTTTAAGTCAGTTTTTCCTGTTTTTTTTTTTTTAAGGTTTTTGTAGTCTTTATTACACAACATTTGAGTTAGTTCTTATATTTACATGTAAAGAAATCGCAACATAAGTGCTGGAAAATCCATATATATGTGAATATATGTATACATTTCTAGGCAATACATAAATAAATTTAGAATTATATATTCATAGGATCAGTCCTCATCACTGGAGTCTGAATCATCTGATGAGGAAGAAGAGCTCCCAGACTCTGATGAAGATGACTCTGCTTTCCCCGAACCTTCAGGACCACTGTTTTCTTTTTGTTCTGCTGACTCCTCCTCCTCCTCTTCTTCTTCTTCATCCAAAGCCTCTTCTAACTCTTCTTCATCCTCCTCCCCGTCCTTCTCTGCCACTAGCCGCTCTGTCTCCCGTGCCGATGACTTGGAGAGTGCAAGCGGAGGAGGAGCAAGGGTGGGGTCACTGTTTGAGCTCTGCGGCTGTGAGGCAGACACAGGAAGGTTAAGGCCTGGAGTGAGAAGCATCCCTGGGTAGAGCATACTGGAGAGTAACAAGGGGTTAAGAGACAGTGGGTGACCGGAGGCTGCAGAGGCAGCTGAAGCACTTTGTGGGGCGGTGGCAGAGGAAGTGGAGCTGGAAGTGGAGGAAGGAGTCATGTTTGAGCCCTCTGTCCTTTCTCCTTTGGTGTCTGAGGTGTGTGGGGGTGCTTTAGAGGCAGACGGCTCTCCTGCTTCACCGCTGGCGGCTCCCTTTGTCTTCTCCTCAGAGCCTCCTGTGTCCTCCTGAGCAGGCTTCCCAAGCAAACTGCTCATGCCAAGCAGGTTTGGCAACCCAGCCATACCAGACAGCATCATGGGAAACATTGCAGCTAAGTTACTTGCAGCCAGGTTGCTGGCGTCGGACGGCAGCCCCATCAGTCCTGCGGTGAGCTGCAGGGACTGTAAGCTCTGGAGGTTTTGCTGGAAGGCCTGCAGGCTGGTCAGGTCCATTCCAGAGAGGAGACCGTTGGCCAGCAGGGGGTTCAGACCCAGTGTGGAGGCTGCTGGGTTGGGCGTTGCTGCTGCTGCTGCCGCGGCCGCCTTGGCCAGAGGGTTCTTAGGTCGACGTCCACGCCGGCTCACCTCCTCAGGTACGATGGGTCCCGTGAGGATCCTGTCAAACATGCTCTCTGGGAGGTAACCCTGGAAGGTATATGCAGGGTGAGCAGTTTTACACACACACACACACACACACACACACACACACACACACACACACACACACACACACACACACACACACACACACACACACACACACACACACACACACACACACACACACACACACACACACACACACACACACACACACACACCTT